GCACTACCACATCAATATGTGGCTTTCTAAATAGTGCTCCCACTGTTTTTCACATCTTCAAGACGTAGCATGGCTGTCATCCAAGATCTCAACCGTTTGTACCTACCGCTGTGTACTCTGATGTGGCCATAAGCTATTTACTAACCATCTGCGTCGTACGTCTCGGGTGCTCCTAAAACGATTATCATTATGCGCCGATTAATCTCCGATGTAATATACGCAAACCCTGACGTACCATTACCGTTGGCATTAACAATTTCTAAGTCTATCCAGAAGATTGGCCATGTCCAATTCAACTTCTGATAGGCATCTCTGCGCTTCCACCTTCAATCCGCTTGGTACTTGAGTTTTCATAAACCCCGATAAATTCGTTATGGCTGATGAACAACGGGAAATATAACTATGCTCACTCTCATCACTAAGCTGTGAAGCGGAACATGAACTGTCGACATCATAATTATCGCTAGTCGGTTAATTGTCAAGATTGTTCACTTGCCACGGATTTTTCAGGGCAATTTCTCGTCGAATGCATAGTCCAACCTGGTCACACCAGGGACAATCTTTAGGCATTGTGTTCCAAATGTCAATCTTTACGCTTTATGCATACTGTAAGCGGCCAAGCGCTGACAACCATTCTATCCACACCTATCCACCGAAGTGGGAACATACTCCATAATTTGCCACCCTTGCATTGATCCGTATCAACAACACATTTCGCTCGAAAACTCCGCGCACGTCAAATACGAATGAGCTCATGGATGGACTGAACCAGTGTTCTAGGATGCACCATCTCTCTAAGCGTCGTGCTAGTTAGCCTTGGGCAGCTGGTCAACCTTGAGTCAAGTAATCTACAAATCGATTTCAAGGCGCAGAATGTAGGCAGCATAGTCTGGTGTGCAATACCATGGAGCTTATATAGTGATGTGAATCGCGGACGAATAATGATACGGAGAGGAAAGATGCCGTAGCTCACCGTCTTAGTATGTCACCGTACCAGACTCCACTTGAGAAGGTAGCAAATGTATCATAGATCATCATGAGTACAAGAGTGTAATGGGCAACAAGTGGAGTAATCGCGAAATACAACCGAGTTAAGTAAGCCCAATACAGGTAGGTTACATGTGGATCATCCGTTCTAGGCAGGTGTAACAGTGATACTATCTTGCTCCAAGTCAGTACTTAATCGTTCTAGAGACAAACCGTACCCGAACGCAACCTACATGCGCGATAGAATAAGGATGACACAAAGAAGATGACAGAGATGGAGTAAGCAACTTTTCAGGTTAGCATGGAAATGGTGCGACTAAGTCCATTTATATTGATAAGCTCAGCTGAGTTAAAGTCCGCGGTGAGAGAAGGGGATTTAGAGTTATGCTCACTTTAACAAAGAAGTAGAAGCGCATTCGAACAGTGATGACTAATCGTTGGGGTGTACTGTGAATGACGTCATCTATATTATTAACTGCACGCTACCCGTGTCGGAAGGTAAGCCAGAGCCGGTCCGGTCGTCTCTTGTCCGGGCTGAGGGAGAATAGACAGGTACGTGAAACCACCATGGACTCCGTCGTGTGTTACTATTTATTTCCCCCTGGTCGTTCGTTCTGACCGCTAACATATCTCGACCAATCCATCAGTGCCTAGAATGCTACCTGTGCCCAAGCATTTCGATTTAAATGTCACGTGGTGTTGCCGCGGTTCCGGTACCAATATTCATGACTTGGCAGAATCTCAGTGCGTGTACCTGAAGGCGGCCGCAGTGCAAGGGGCGTATAGAGGCACTTGAGATGGGATACATTGACCTCATATTTCAAGCTGCAATAAGTCACCGTGCCACACGAGATGAAAGGTACTAAGATCCCTCTGTCAAGTGAAAACGAAGCGAGTCACGAACAGATGTTCGCGTACCCCGTACTTTGTGGGAGACCCAGTTAGACACCGAGGCAGCAGCTAATGATGTCACGAGAGTGAAAATGCGATTAGTCTGTCAAGCTGAAGTGTGGCGCTTACAAGTGTTTCTAAATGGCTTCCACTTAGTCATAAAACATGACGACGAGCACCGCCCACTGAGAGTAGAGATATCAGTTGACATACCAAAGGTCCCTGTTACGAGTTGCAGTGCTGCGGTATTGCGAGCGGGCATTCGTTCACACTTGTGAATGTACTACCACAAGCTGGATGGAAAAACAGTAACCCTCATGAGCAACAGCACTACAAAAGTGCATAAGTATGGATTGAATGTAGGAATACCAACCATATTACTCTAGTGTTGGAAGATCGCAAGTTAAATTATAAGCTATCAATCCGACTGTCCTTGCTTAGTTAAAATCTAAGCGTCAATCTAAATGACAGCCATAAAGTTAGTCGGAAGTGTGGGCATCAACAATAGATAGAGACAGATAGAGGAATAGGGAAGTAAATACCATCAGTACGGTTACCAGGTGGAATGACGCATACATAAGAGGTACCAATAAAACAGTAATGTCTTATCGTTAGTGCGTATTGTAAATACCGTCTTCTATATGTGTTATTAGGCGATAATATCACACGTTCTCTGATGGCCTGTTTGACGCTATCACATCAATAACACATCTAGTAAATCACACTGCTCCCTGTTCTACATTCGACTTTCGAAAGAGTGTGCAAACTGCTGTACGGTTCGTGACCTCGTCTTTGATTCCACCAGCACTTATACTACTGCCTAGATAGTTGGATTTCAGAAAAAATCGTTTAGCAAACACGCACTAACGTTCAGCGAAGGACGCACTGCTTGCCAATCCTGGAGGAAAGCTTTGCATTTTGAGAGTGCATAGCAAAGTCCCAATCAGTCGACTACAGTACTAATCTCTAGGGTGCCGCTTTGCACGTTTGCTAGTTGTCACAGATGATGATAGGGTCATCGGCTGACACCAAACCAAGAACATGTTCACCTGGAAGCAGTGGCAGATACTCTAATTTTTGTTTAGTGAACGCGTTTTTACCAAAACGCTAATAGCGTAGTAAAAAAGAAAGCTGACAGCACGCATAAGTGTCTTACACAGCTCGAGATTTAAAGGGCGGTGATAACTCGCACATTACTCAAGCTACGCGTGTGAAACGCTCAGATAATGTTTACCTATTACTCGGACACACCATTCCATAGAAAACAGCTCCAAATTGCACATCGATGCACTAAATCAAAGGCAACTTTAATGTGGAAATGCTTCAAAAATTGACGCGTTATGATGTGATCGAATCAGCCCGGACCTCGTCGAAACCCGGGTGGCTCTCCACGGTTGCCAACCAATCAGTGAATTATGACGGCGACGATTAATTTAAATACATTCCGAATGTGAGCTTCCTTTGAGGCTCGGGACAAAACGGAGCGGCTCCACTAGCCTGCGACAGTTTCTTGCTTTCACAATTTCAGTAATAACTAATGTAAACCATACACGACATCGGGCCTCTCGGGGTTAAAGAGGGTGTAGGAAGATCAGCTAATCGCGCGGCCTTGTTCAATCTCAGCAGCCTAGTCTTACGTCTGCATTCGGATCGAAATGAAATGGGACAACTAAGGGAGCAGCATGATAATCATCCGATGGGCTATCTGACTATTTTAGCCAAACACTCTGTCCTTCATATGCTCAGGTTAACTCTTCAAGCATCTTGACAATTGCTGGACAGTCTGTCTTATTCTGTCCTGTAGACACTCAATAAATCCACGTTTTTGCTGCCCATCTTCCCCATGGAAAGAATAATTGTCAATGGTTAATAAGCGCAGCGTCATTTACATCCTTAATTCAGGATGAAATCAACAGGATTCGCGGTCTATCTTCACGCCAGCACGCAATTTCGCCCTAAGGCCTTTGTGAGTCTTCTTGTGTTCATTTTCATCCTTAATAAGTCGGCAACCATCAATAAACACCAAAATGAGTAGAGATCCGGTGACCTTCTTGGCTATCAGATCAACCACATAAAGATTTGCCTGCGGCTAATAAGTCTAACGAATATGCAACCAGTGATCTCCAACCGAATTCTGTGGGCGCTGTCTCAGCTCGCATGCAAGCGCACTCGAATACGCATTCAGAATATCTAGCATCGCCAGTTGGCTGGTATTCTTGCGGTCCCAATAAGTTTGCGCACGTCTACCGAAACGCATCTAAACTTGAGCACACACCAGAGCGTGATCAGAGTCTATGCTCGTGCTCCAATTCGGGCTACATGTTTAGGCACAGCCTCTCCAGCGGTACTTGTTTGCAATGTGTTGGATTTGCTTTCATGGGGGATCCAAGGTTCTAGCTGAACTTCACCATAGACAAAAAAGACCAAGTCCGGGTATTCAGCCTAGCAGGGGACAGATAACAAGCATCCAAGAAGCGAACGGAGTTAGTTAGTTTGACTGACATCATCATTCATATGCATTGGTCCTGTGACTACCAGACCTTCCACTCATTTCCGAACTCTTTCCTGAACGCTGCATGGCGCGCACTGCTTCGGTGTCTATTTCTGGTACACAGATAACTGCAAATCCCAAGGGTGCTTCTTCTGTTGAGACGCTGACATGATCTGCTATGGGTTCCTTACTTCCTGGATTTATTTGTACCTCTCTACTACAGGCACTTAGCACAGTGGCACCTAGTTTTCCCATCACAAAATAAAATGCCCACTGCCGAAGATTCCTGAAAGATGGAAATAGCTTTCTAGAGTTTTTCCTTATGTTTGGTTTCTGACTGATTGACGGCGGCAGTAACTAATCGTCTTAGAGATTTATTGAAAGATTATCGACGGAGTTCGCGACTCCGTAAAACGGACGAAACGACCTACTCCCTGTTGTGTCCATTATGTTTACTTGAAAGACAAGGTGAAAAGTATACCGATGGTGATTTTTCGAAATTGTGAATGATAACTCCCGGGTTCTACTGTTTAGTTCGACAAGACAGCGAACTTCATTATGTACGAGGAGATCCTTCCGATTTACTGAATCTGTAGAAGTTGGTATCGGATCTATTCTTCCTTCTTTACAGCACTTGATGGCCACGTACCTAGAGTATATGAAGCTCGAGAAAGTAGTTTTTGGTGGAACATCTGGTCAATCACTGAACGCCCAATTACAGGAAATTTCCGAAAAGTTTTTTCAAGCTTACAAGGTAAGTGGTTGCAGTTGATTTCAATTTAATTGTTACCACGTGATTTTCCTTGGCATTGAAAGTTCAATAGACATTAACGCCTGATACGAACGAGACTGGGATGATCTTAACGTTACACATAAGTAATCAGTCAATGGCCATTAAGTTACCGGAGTCGGTGAGAAAGTCTGGGTTCGGTGATTTGGTATGGTTTTGTTTTATTTGAACTGAATTGCAGGATCCTAATTTCGATCACGGCTAACTTTGAAGCAGGTTTATATCAAACTGATACAGGGTTCAAAGTAAGTGTGCATCTGCTATGCCAAGACGAAAGCAGCAAACAGCGTTGTGTAGTATGGCGATTATCCGCGTAAACGGCAAGTAACAATGTACACCAAAAGAGCGAGCAAGGCATTCGAATCACATGGACGCAGAAGCACGTTACCGATCAATGGTTACGGGCGACGGCCAATAGCTTTAGCACACACACGGGAACGCACACACGCCAAGCGCATCATTGTGGTTTGAACTATCCACTGGCCGTCGTTGGCGCTTTTTACAATGGCCGGTTGCCACCCGGAGTCTGGAGGTAAACGGACATAGATGGGATCAGATACTTCCTTTAGCCCGTGTCTGCTGCTGGTGTCAGAGTGTTGCTTTGCGCGTTCTTGTTTTTCGTAAACCTCCGAACCAAGGGTAGCGTGTAATAAATCCAACGGTGTGCACAATCCGCGCGGCTTCTACCGTTGATTTCGTTTGCCATGTTTCGATAAGCGAAAAAGGCACGGTCTAAACGTACCCGCAGTGGAGCTGCTGGTTGCTTCAGTAACATATTCTTCACTATCTGCGCAGCTCGCTCAACCAAACCGTTTGATGATGGGTGATAAGGCGCAGTAGTTACGTGTCTAAAGCCATTCGAGGTAATGAAGGCATAAAATTCGGCACTGGTGAATGCTGTTCCATTATCTGACACCAGTGTTTCCGGGAGACCGAAGATTGCAAACGTCGTACGCAGTTTAACTATTGTGTTAGCTGAATGTGCTGCAGTCAGGAAGTGGGCATCAATCCATTTGGAACGGGTATCAATGATCAACAAGATCATCTGACCTTCGAAAGGGCCGAAAAGTCTACGTGATTACTTTTCCATGGTGCTTTTGGCCACTTCCGTGGCTGCATTGGCATTTGGGGCACAGCGTTCCGATTCTCTTGACGCACACCAGAAGCGTCAGCATCCAAGTTCCAGAGACACTGAGATTATGACGAAAACTTGACGATAGGATTCGGCCAATGGCTGAAAGGATTGCTCGCTTGCGTGTAAACCTGAAATCGTCGGTTCGAATCCGCGTAGCTGCGGGCAACGTCTCGGTAAACCCAGCCTTCACTTGACTGCCGGGGTCCATGCAGCGAACTTGGTACAGTGATGCCTCTGATCTCTGCGGCAAAGGTTGCTCTAGGAGATCAGCAGCACCGTAGCCATGGTGTCTGTGGGTAAGTACTACACTGCTGCTGCCCATAATTGGAGCTCGCAAACAAGGGCGAAACTCATTTTGACACGCAGGGCTGGAAGCCAGATGCACCCAGAAGTAATCCGTTACTGTCCGATACATGGTAGCTATGAACTGTTACTTAGTTTTCTACTAACAAGAAAACTGGTACTCATTTCTCACGTGACTAGCATGAATCAAACTACTGGAGGCAGAGGAATGAATGCCTTGAACTAGATGCCCAGGATCAAACTCCATTTCGGAACAGGGCAGTCAGACCGGGTGTGAGAGCATAGATCAAAATTTAATAAACCCGGCCACAATGACTACTGATTCGATATAGCGGCTGTTTCAGTTAATCCTCTCGGACTGCATACTTCATCACAACTTCGGGGTACATTCAACACTGTTGAGAGACCAATAAAATACACGCCTATTGTCTCTATCCACACGGCAGACTTACAGTTCATCGTAGCTTCGACTTCTGCCGATAAAGTAGAATTTAAGTTTGCCAATACTAGCACAGGACGTGGTATGCTATCAATTTGCCGACGACAGAAAGCAGCCACACACTCATCCAAGAAGGACAGCACCAAATAGCAGCATAATTCTCTCATTGTTATATGCTCTAATGTGCCTGAATCCGTGGCGAACTCCAAGAAACGCAAGCTTCTAGACAACCAGAAGCAGTGGGGATCCGATAGAAGTCGTTCAAAACTTTAACTACCTGGGAAGTTGTATCAGCGCCCGTGGGGTTGAAGATGAGATCACGAACTGCGTAGCAAAAGCTCGAGATGCTGTTGTTAACCTTCTCCACCTATGGCGGCGGCGCAACATCACTCTCGCACTGAAGGGTAGAGTGTACAATGCAGCCGTACGTTGGCTTTTATTGTACGCTTGTGAAACCTGGCCCCTAAAATCAGCGGACATAAAGAGTCTAGTTACATTCGACCATCGGTGCCTTCGCAGTTTGGCTCGGATCTGTTGGGAACACCGCGCAAGCAACGATCGTATTCGACGCCTTGTTTACGGCACAAGAAATGGTAATGAACCGCTCAGCACCGTTATTTCATGCACCAGGCTCCGATGGCTAGGATACGTGTTACGCATACCAACTCACCGACTCCCGCGGCGTGCGTATTTGCGCGCCAGGGGTGTAGATAGAAGAAGAGGGGGGCAAGCGATGACTTAGTCGTGAGGAATGAAGGCCCTCACTTCGGAGCTGGCCTCCTTTGGAGCGTCTCGGCTCCCTGGTTGGGGTCCGAAAGACGATGAACACGCTTGGCTGGCTACACTTGGTGACATGGCTAGGAGCCGACCTCAGTGGGGTTCGCGCTGTGAGTTTCTTTGTCCCTCCCCATTCATTTTAGTCTCCCCTGCAATCACGATCACACTTCTTAGCCTAAGATAATTTTGCATAATAACTTTTTGGTGCATTTTTGCCGGCTGGTAGCTTACCGGAACGATGCCCATCCGTTACCGGTAGTTCAGCTGGCATGCATCTGTTGCATTTTCTCGTTTTTTTTCTGCCATGTATTGCGGTACGGTAGCTAAGGTGTTTCCCACCTCTAGTTAATGTGTACAATGAATGAATGAGTGGGACGCAATGTGTCATGTAATCGGGGTGCAAACAAAGACGGCGAGTATGCTGCGCCTCATGTGTCATCCAACCTCGGTACGCTGCTGTGAACCATGATTACTCCAAGTTACGCTTCAGTCGGATGATGCAGAAGCCGTTGTGTTGCCGGGCACTCCTCTCCGAACTACCCCAAGCACTGTTCGCGTTTTTTCCCGGTGAAAGAAACGCAGACTAAACTCGTACGAATACCGTCATCAGTTACGGTATCCTACAGCTTCAGACTTCAAGAGAGCTAGAAGTTCAAACACACGACGGAACAATCAATCAAACTGTGGTTCAAAAATCATAAAAACTTGTTATCCGAAACACTTATAAAATGAATAGACTCCGGCCACAAATCGAAGACATGACGCTGCGCAAGCAGATCAACTTGTAAGGCAGCGGAAGCCAGTGACCACTCGTAAACCGGAACGACAACGAAAAGGGGATAGTAGATAAGTAACCACTGGCGCAATGGATGAGACAAGACAAGGCTCTGCGAAAGTTGCCGCTCGAGACGACAGCGGATCACAGGCGGCATCTGGTAACGAGCCTCGGCCCAGAACAACGGAGGAGGTATTTGTCGAGAAAGCAATCAATCAGACACATACGCCGCTAGCGAAACCCACAGGACTGAACGCGGGCCGAGTGATGCTGCCACAGGAGAACAAATCGCGAGCTTTCGAACGACTCATGGCCGGCCAGGATCGGATATAGTGAAGCGGAGATACGTGGTGGAAACATGGTGGCGTTGTTTAGAAACTCAATCTCGTAGGCACTTGGAATGGCCGGTCACACAAATCCTCATCCGCGTTGCGTCGTGGGAAGGAAACACGATCCAAATCTGTACTGGTTTGTGAATTGTCAGTTGCACATTCTTGTAGAAATACACGCTCTGCCCCCCCCCCACCGTGCCGTTTTTGCAACAGCATGTGCTGTCTCGCAGTATGCCGCTCAGAACCGGGACCCAAACAATACACTCTGTCAGCTGAAGGGAGGTCTAGGTTTTCAGGCACTTACTGTGAAGTCCACATACGAATTCAGCATTGTCCGTGGTTCTACGTTTTCGGTGCAACAACAAAAAACAAATGGTAGCTAACCCAAAGGACTACCGCAGTTCGTCGTCAGCCCAAGACGCATTAGCCTGCCATGTGCACTCGGCTCTGTCATCGTTGGACAATAGAATCATGTTCACTCGAGTCTGTTTTTGGACTACGGCAACGCATTCGGCTGTGTAACCCGGCGAATTACTGCTTAATGATCTAATCGATGCCGGAATACTTCCTTTCATGGTCCATTTTTGGGGGATTATTTTACTGGTCGGACTCAGGTTAACTGATTTGGAGATAGTAGGTCCTCGACCCTAAGCACAAACACCGGGGTTCTTCAAAGAGCTATTCTGTCACCATCTCTCTTTTCCAGCTATGTAAACTCAATACCAGTCCCAGGAAAGGCAGCCCCACTTAACTACGCAGATGACATTGTACTGCGCGTCAGTCAATAGACGACTGTCTCTTCAGTCAGGTTGTAAACTATTCTGAACGATCAAATTGAGTGTTGCCCGCCTGAAACCACGGCACTCCATGACGCGTTTCGAGGTTATTTCCTCTCATCAGATAGAGATAGCAGGCATCGAACCCGGGACCATTGAGATGTTAGTTGTGACCGCCACCCCTAACATCTCAATGGTCCCGGGTTCGATGCCTGCTATCTCTATCTGATGAGAGGAAATAACCTCGAAACGCGTCATGGAGTGCAGTGGTTTCAGGCGGGCAACACCCAATTTGCTGCTGCTTCATCAGCTACGGTCCTAGTGATCGAATGGCCAAGGTTCCCATCAATGGGAATCGCGGTCCACTTTGAGATTGCGCGTCCCAATCCATCCACACAACGTGTACTTCAAATTGACCTTCCAACCT